CTAAGACTTCCAATACAATATTGAATAAGAGAGGAGATAATGGCCATCCTTGCCTAGTTCCTGTTCTTAAAGGGAATGCCTTTAACCTCTCTCCATTGAGAATAATGTTAGCTCTCGGATTTTCATAAATACTTTTTACTATTTATATTTGCTTTTTAACATATTTAGTTTTGAAAAACCCCTTTTATCCACTCTGAAGGACATCTGAGTATTTCATACCAAGTATTACAAACCCACTTAAATCTAAAGTAAACAATAACACCAGGGGAGGTATGAACTCCCTAGAACCCACCAGCTATACAAAACCAAAAGAGCAGCATTTGCCCAAAAATGAAGCTCAGATGTAGGAAAAGGACAAATGGAAACAGGAAACCAGGAAGTGGAAACTATCATTGCACTGTGGGGATCGCAACCAATGTCACAAAAATGTGTATGAAGAGTTGATGGGAAAATTTGCTTTGTGAATCACAATAAAAAAATTTGAGAAAAAAGATAATACACCACTGACAATCAAAATTATTTCCTCACATTAAAATAATTGCAAAAATGGTGTTAAAAATTCTAAAACTCAAAATGTCTAGTTATAGCACATTTACACTCTCTTTCTCATTGCTGTCATGTCAGAATCAACTCACAGCTGACCTTCTAGCAGTTTTTCAGCAACTGTAAATCACACAAGAGGGGACTGCCTATCTTTCACCCATGGAGCACCCAGTGGATTCAAACCATGTGCCTCTGGGTTGACAATACAATGCTCTAACCACTGGGAAACCAAGCTCCCTACAAGAAACAAAACTATATATTTATATGAAGGTACAAAGCAATCATGAAGATACCAAATGTATGTAGGATGCTTAAAAATTTATTTTTAGTTCTTTAAATGTGAATATACTTTTAGAGCAGCTCTTCTCCATATTCATTTAATATGATCCCTTTTTAAAAGTAGCATCTAAATCTGTCTTGGAGGAAGTACAACCAGGATGCTCCTTAGAGGCAAAGATGATAAAGTTTCCTTTCACATACTTTGGGCATATGATCAAGGGGAGTTAGTCCTTGGAAAAAGACAACCTGCTGGCAAAGGTAGAGGTTCAGAAAAATGAGAAGAAGGTCCTCAGTGACACAGACGCAATGACTGCAGCCATTGGCTTGGGCATGTTGAAAATCATGAAGATGGCACAGAATAGGGTAAGGTTCTGGTATGTTGTTCACAGGGTCACAATGAGTCATAGCTGACTTGAGGGCACCTAACAACAGCAGCAGCAGTAGTATGTTTTCAAAACCTGTTAAAAAGAACTTTCATATAAAAAGTAATAAGAAAGCTTACATTATAGAAGGATTTCTAGATATATTTTCTTTTACTGTATTTTTTGTTTTTTGGCCTGAGTATATTATTTACTAAGAATCACCATATTGATCAAAAAGGCACTAGCAATTTTCATATCAAGGGAGTAGTGTTCAGATCAAAATATATTGTTTTTTTATTAACTTCTTGTTATATTGCTAACTTCTTGTTTTAATGTGCTGTCAAGTTTACTACAACACATAGCAACCCCATAAACAATAGCTGGGAACGCTGCTCTATCTTGAGCCAATCTAACACACCTCCCCCCATTACCACAGTCACTGAGTCAATCCATCTCATCCATGATCTTCCTCTCCTATGCCGACCTTCCACCCTTCCAAGTATGAAGTCCTTCTCCAAGGACTGGTCCCTATGGAAACATGTCCAAAATATATGAGAACTTTCACAATCCTTGCCTCCAAGGAGCTTCTTGGTTTCATCCTCTTTAGGACAGACCTGTTTGTTCTCTTGGGAGTCCATGGTATGTTCGGTACTCTTCTCCAACATCACAACCCAAAGGCATGGATTCTTCTTGTTATCCTTATGAAAAATTATCAACTTAGCTTACTTTAGTATGAAAAAATTATCAATTTTATTTACTTCAACTGGGTGGATAAAAGTGTTAATTAAGCAAGTGTAATGATGTTGTAAAATTGGGAAAGGTGGGATAGCAATAAATTTTCTAATGTAAATCTATGTGTCACATAATTTTGCATTATCTAATATTCTGATGGCTTCATTTTTAGGTAAAAATTGACATTGTATATTTTTATCATCTATTTCACTTACTGATTGCTTATCAGTATTTGTTAGGTCAATTCAATGCAAATCTAGTCTCTTTACTGTAACTTCATGATACTCCTCATTTTAACTATAATTTATTTTTCCTTTTATATACATTGGTTTGCATACAAAATTTATATACATTATGTTTGACTCACTCCTTTATTTATATTGTTTTCATATGCTTATTCCCATATATTGTATTTAAAAAAATTAATCACCATCAACTGATAAATGCCCATTACCGTCTTCTAAGGTCCCTGATGGATCCTTGAAAATTCACCTCCTCCTTCCACCAATGAAACTCCGCAGCCTCATGATTCCCCCCTCCCCCTCCAGAGCTCCCCTCCCACCGCATAGTCCCCTTCCAGCTTTGGACTTTTATACACATCTTATTAGTTATCCTTCTATTTTTACAATAAGGGTCTTATGCAGTATTTGTCCTTATGAGACTGTGTTCGTTCACGCAGAATAATGCTCTCCAGCCTCTCCCATGTTATATAGTATTTTTTAAAATCATTGCTCCTGAGTGTTGCACAGTATTCCCTAATCTGACAGAAATATATCCTTAGAATATGTTTAGAGTATGTTTAGGTTCTAACAGTATATTAGTAGCTAAAAGATATACAGTGATTTAGAAAAAGCAAACAAACAAAAAAGCCTTCTAGTCCAAAAAAAGCCCCTAAAAAACTCCTACTCGTTTTGAACTTAATTGTTTTGAACAGTGCTTTGTATTAGTCAGTAATATTTTTCTTCATATACAGTAGGCAGCACATTTCCTTTTCTAATAAGTACCTGCCCTTTCTTTGCAGCACTTGGCCCCTGTGGGCAATTTTTCCCTCTTTAGAATGCTGGACTGATGTAAAAAAATCTGTTAAGCTCTTCCTTTAACAGCAAGTATGAATGTGTTAAAGATTTCATTTTAATACTAAAATAAGAAATATTTTAATTCCTCAGTTAAAAAAAAAACTCATTAGGGACCCAAGAATGACCAGTTAATACATTTACAGATTTCATAAGGAGTCCTGGTGGTACACTGGTTAAGAGTTCAGCTGCTTAACTGACAAACTCTGGTAGTTCAAACCCACCCACTGTCCTGGGAGAAAGATGTGGCAGTCTGCTTCCATGAACATTTGTTCTTATTGTTAAGTGCCACTGAGTAGGACTCACAGTGATCCTATGAACAACAACTCTGTTATTCTGAACTCTGTCCTATCCTGTGCCCCCTCACAATTCTCATAGACTGGGGCCTACTGCTGCAATCTGTGTCAGTCCACCTGGTAGAAGTTCTTCATCTCCCCACCTTTCCAACCATGATATCCCATGAAGATTTACAGCCTTGGAAAGATTATTCCCCCCTGCCTGTAGGGTCTAAATCGAGTCAGTGGTGATGAGATTTTCTGGTGGTACACACATTTTACAACATTATTGGTATAACAAGATATAAAAACCATAGGTCCAATGAGTCTTTATGGAAGCTGACTGCTACACCGTTCTCTCACAGAGCAGCTGCAGCCGTGTTCTCAGAGAAAGCACATTACAACTTTCTGGCAAGTTACATATGCAAAACATATCACATTTATTATATTAAAATGACATGTACTGAGGGGATCAAACTGTATTCTGATGGAGGGAAATAGAAAACAGCTTAGAGAAAAAGTGATTTTGTTTTATATATAAAGGTACAGTAAATAGCTAAGAAAATATAGAAATGAAAATATGCTATAGCTCATCATGTTGATGCACATTGTATTCCCGGGGAGAAATGAAGCCATCACCATCATGGTCATTCCTTTTGAAAATATCTTCCAAAACTGCATTCTGATAGGACTTGTCCCGTGGCTTCTCATCTTTTTCAAAGTCCTTTTCTAGGTAATCACGTATCTATAGAGTAAAAAAAAAGTTTAAAGTTATAAAAATGAATTTATAATAACTTTGAGGAATATTTACACAATGAAACTCACCCAAAGAATACTCAGAATGACACAATATTTTATAAAGCTATTTCAGGTTTTATTTTTTTAATCATTGGGAAGTTTATTTTTCAGAAAAGGTCTTCAAATTAGCTTTTCTGAAGGTTGTAGATAATCAGTGCTACATTTTCAAAGTGCAGTCAGAGAGACTAAGTTAGTCACAGGCTTCAACAGAACAAGTCCTAAAACATTTTGAAGTATTGCCTAAAAAGAAGTCACATATTGATGCAAATTGATAACACATTTGTTTGCTCATCGAAAGGTTGGAGGTTCGAGTCCAGTTAGAATGCCTTTTCCCCAAAGTCAGACTAAACACTATGGAGCACAATTCTACTTGGACATACACAGGGTCACCATGATTCAGAATAGACTTAATGGAAATTGTTCTTCACCTCCACTAGAAGAAAGGTTAACAGGCATAATCCATTTGACAGTTTTGACGTTTGAAACACACTTCCTTTTCAGAACTTAGATTTTCAGTAGTGAGTGCTAGAAAAGCTAAGTTAACTATGGTTGTTGTTAGGTGTTGTCAAGTTGAGTACAACTCATAGCAACCCTATGAATAAAAGATGTTGAACTCTGTTCTTTCCTGCACCATCCTCACACTTTCTGACACACAAGAGCCAGTTGCAGCGGTCTAATTAGAAACAAAAAAAAAAAAAAGCTGTAACATAGTTAGGAGCTGTGCTGCAAACCCAAAGACTAGAGGTTCGAATCTACCAACCACTCCATGGGAAAAGAAGTGCAATCTTCTCACATGTTCCTGTTATTTATGGCCTCTGAAAACCCACTGGAGGGTTAGCTATGAGTCTCTTCCGACTTGATGGTACACAACAACATAAACAAAAACTGAACTCTCTGCTATGGAGCCAATTATGACTAGTAGCAGAACCTTACAGGACAGAGCAGAACTGCTTCCTAGTTTCCAAAGCTATAAATCTTTACAGCAGCAGAGAGATATATCTGTCTCCTGTAGAGAGGCTCAGGGTTTAAAACCACTGTACTACCAGAGCTCTTTACAACCAAAATCAAACCAAACCCACTGCCGTGCAGTCAAATCTTGTTCATGGTGACCCACTATCAGGCTTCAGGGACTGCAAATCTAAACAGGAGGAGCCTGGCCATCCTTCTCCTTTGGAGCAACTTTTGAATTCGAACTGCCAACCTTTAGGTTATCACTGCTACATGCTGATAACTGTGCTAGCAAAAATACTTGTAATTGCTACATATCATTATTTAAATTGTGATAAAAAGTTAAATAGTATACAATGAGGGTTACATTACCTCATCTTTAGAGAGCTGTCTGTCACTGTTCACATCTATTTGCTTAAATGTTTCAATGCTCCGTGGTCCTTTGGTCACAGCATAAAGTTCAATCTCAAAAATTAGTGTGGCATTAGGTGGAATCTTGCCTTCTACTAAAAAAAGAAATATAACCATTTACCTTATATAAAGTTCAAATATTTACTCACAAATAGCCAGAAAATGATTGATTACATTATATTTATAACATTTACTTTTCTAATATCCTTTAATGACTATTTTCCCCATATGTTTTTAAACCATAGGGACCACTAACTCCTAATTAAAACAAAATAAATATGAATCACAGTTTTTGTTAAAACTCCCTTATCATTTTAATTCTAGATGTTTGTGAATGTTCTTCAGTAGTATTTTGCTTACATGTGATAATAATGAAATTTTCCATAATTTCCACATTTTGTTGGGTCACTTTTCTTGGGAATGGGAACAAATATGGATCTCTTCCATTCAGTCAGCCAAGAAGATGCCCTCCAAATTTTCTGGAATAAACTTCTGAGCACATCCAGGCTGCATCTGTTAGTTGAAACATGTCATCTAGTATCCCACTGAATCCTGGACCTTACTTTTTGCCAATGACTTCAGTGTGGCTTGGACTTCTTCCCTCATTAGCATTATCTCTTGATCACATGGCACTTCATGAAATATTTCAGTATTGGCCAATTCTTTTTGGTATAATGATTCTGTATATTCCCTCTATTTCTTTTAATGTTTCTTGGATCATTGAAGATTTTTCTCACTGCATCTCTAAGTATTACAACTTGAGGATTGGTTTTGTTTTTCATTTAGAAATGCTGAGCAATTTCTTCCCTTTGTAGTCTACAATTCTGTCTCTGCACGTTCCATTAGTTTGCTTTGTCTTCCTAAGCTACCTTTTGATATCTTCTGTTCAGCTTTTATTTCAATGTTTGAAATAAAAGTTTTGGCTTTTTGACAATCTAGTGCAATTTTCAGGCTCTCTTCTGATATCCATGTTGGTTTTTTTCTTTCTCTCTTGTCTTTATAGTGACCTTTTGCTCTCTTAATGGATCGTATCCTTGATGTCATCCCATAACTCATCTGGTCTTTGATCAGTGGTAATAAATGCTTCAAACCCCTCTTTTTTTTTTAAAAACTCTAAATACTTAGACTATCACTTGGACTAGCAGACACGGCAATTGAAACTGAGATCTTAGAAATGGAAACACAGAGGAGGAGGAACATCTGTAAGCAGACACTAGTGACTGGAATGTGGAATGTGAGAAGCATTAAAGTAGGAAAATTGGATATTGATAAGAAAGAAATGGAACACGTAAATATTGAAATACTAGGTATTGGTGAAATGAGATGCTTGGCATGGGACATTTTGAATCAGATGATCGTATGATTTACTATGCCGGGGATGAAAAGGTGAGAAAAAAATGGGGTTGGTTTCATAATTTAAAAAGTCATTTCTAGCTCCATCCTGAAATACAATGTGGTGAGCAACAGGATAATATCTATATGCATACAAGGAAGTCCGGTGAATACCACTATCATTCAAATATATGCACCAAAAACTAGAGCCAAAGAGGAGGAAATGGAAGATTTCTACCAACTTTTGCAGTCAGAAATTGATCAAACATGCAATCAAGATGCATTGATAAATAGTGGGTGACTGGAATGCAAAAGTTTGGAATGGGGAAGGTTCAGTAGCTGGAAAACACAGGCTCGGTGAGAGAAATGAGGCTGGAGATAGAATGATAAAAGTTCTGCACATTCAAGGATGTATTCATTGCAAATACCTTTTATAAGAAACATAACGCAGGCTATACACATGGATCTCACCTGCTGGTATGCATAGGAATCAAATAAATTACATTTGTGGGAAGACTCGCTGGAAAAGTTCAATAAAAGCAGTGAAAACCAGGCCAGGTGCTGACTGTAGGACAGACCACCAACTAGTCATATGAAAGTTCAAGCTGAAGTTGAGGGAAATGAAATCAAGCCCATCAGAACCAAAATTTGACCGTAAGTCTGTCCCACGCGAATTTCAAAACCATCTCAGGCACAAGTTTGAGGCCTTGAGTACCAATGAGCGTAGACCAAATGAGCTCCAGGAGGATATCAAGAAAATCGTCCATGAAGAATGCAAAAGATCATTACAAAGGCTGAAGAAGAAGAAACGACCAAGATGGATGTCAGATGAGACTCTAAGTATTGCATTAGAGCGCCGAGAAGCCAAAGCTAAAGGAAGAAACCAAGAAATCAAAGAGCTGAACAGAATATTTCAAAAGACAGCTCAGGACAACAAAGCAAGATACTAGAATGAAATGTGCAGAGAGCTGGAGTTCAAAAATCAAAAGGGCCAAACTCGCTCTTTTTAAGCTGAAGGTGTTGAAAAACAAATTCAAGCCACGGGTGGCAATACTTAAGGATACTTTGCGTAGAATGTTAAATGATCCAGGAAGTATCAAAAGAAGATGGAAGGAGTACACAGAGTCACTGTATCAGAAGGATTAGCTGACACAGAAGAATTTCATGAAATAACATATGAGCAAGAACCTATCTGATGAAGGAGGAAGTTCAAGTTGCTCTGAAGGAAATGGGAAAAAATAAGAATACAGGAGTTGACAGCATACCAACTGATTTATTTCAACAAACAAACACTGCCCTGGATATGCTCATTAAGTTGTGCCAAGAAATCTGGAGGACAGCCAGCTGGCCCACTGACTGGAAAAGATCTATATTTGTTCCCCCATTCCAAAGGTGACCCAACAGAGTACGAAAATTATTGAACAATATCATTAATATCACATGCAAGCAAGATTCTACTGAAAATTATCCAAAAACGTTTGGAACAATATGTCAAAAGAGAACTGCCAGATGTGCAGGCTGGATTTAGAGGAGGTCGTGGTACTAGGGATATTATAGCTAATGTAAGACGGCTCTTGGCAGAAAGCAGAGAATACCAGAAGAATGTCTATCTGTGCTTCTTTGACTATGCAAAGGCTTTTGACTGTGTGGATCACAACAAGCTATGGCTGACTCTGAGAAGAATGACAATCCCAGAACACTTGATTGTGCTAATGTGAAGCCTATACTTGGACCAAAAGGCAGTCATCAGAACAGAGCAAGGAGACACTACATGGTTCAAAATCAAGGGGGTCCATCAGGGATGTATTTTGTCTCCATACCTTTTCAATCTGTATGCAAAACAGATCATCTGAGACACTGGGCTGTATGAGGAGAAATGTGGCATTAGGATTGGTGGAAGAATCATCAACAACCTACGTTATGCAGATGACACAACCCAGCTTGCTGAAACTGAGGAGGACCTGAAGCACTTGCTGCAGAAGGTCAAGGACTGCAGCCTTCAATATGGATTGAAGCTCGACATCAAGAAAACAAAGATTCTCACCACTGGGCCAATTGGCAGCATCAGTATGGATGGTGAAGAGATTGAGATAGTTAACAGTTGTAGTTTACTTGGTTCCACAGTCAACACTCTTGGTAACAGCAGTCAGGAAATCAAGAGACAAATTGCATTGGGAAAGTCAGCTGTGAGGAACCTCTCAAGAATACTGAAAAGAAACAACGTCAGGCTGGAGATTAAGGTGCGCCTGATCCAGGCTATGGTCTTCGCAATTACGTGCTATGCATCAGAGAGTTGGACAGTGAATACGGATGATAGAAAGAGAGTTGATGTCTTTGAGTTGTGGTGCTGAAGAAGAGTGTTGAATATACCATGGACTGCTAGGAGAACAAACAGGTTTGTCCTGGAGAAGGTGAAGCTGGAATGCTCCTTGGAGTCAAGGATTCTGAGGCTTCATCTGACATACTTTGGCCATGCTGCAAGAAGGGACTGGTCCTTTGAGAGGGACATCATATTTGGGAGAGTGGAGGGACGGCGCAGGAGAGGAAGACTTTTGATGAGATGGATCAATTCTGCGATTGGGGTGGTGGGAATGAGTGTGTTTGAGACAGCAAGGTTGACACAGAACAGAACAGCATTTAGGGCTCTTGTATATATAGGGTCACTATGAGTTGCAAGGGACTCGATGGCACATAACAACAACAACAACAACAACTTGTCCCTTTCAACTATCAGTTAAACCTTACATCCCACCCGTTTCTTATTTAACTTTCATGACATGAGAATTCTCAGACCCATTTTTAGATGTTTTTAAGTGCTTCTTGGAGGCTTACATACTTTGTCTCACATACTTTGGACCCGTTGCTAGGAGAGTCTATTCTTTGAAGAGGAACATCATGCTTGGAAAGGTGGAGGGATGGTAAAGAAGAGGAAGACCCTCAACCAGGTCTGCAGTGAATGGAGCAATGGGCTTAAGTATGTCAGAGATTGTAAAGATGGCACAGGAAAGACAGAATTCAAATCTGTTGTTTATAGGGTCCTGTGAGTTGTACTTGACACTATGGCACTTAAAAACATCATCATTCTAATTAGGGCTTTAGTTAGAGCTACTTCAGGGAAGAAAAATTTCAAAGAATAGATCACTAGTCACTTTGACAAGTATAAACCAATATATTTGTCTTTCTGAAGATTTAGTTGTGTTTTAAGTAAAAGTTTACAATAACAACCAATAATTTAAACACAGATTGTTCTGTAACGTTGGTTGCCATCCTCACAATGTGTCAGCACTCCACATTTCCTCCTTGGCCTGTCACCATGCATCTGGTTTCCCCATCCCTGACTTTTCAATAGTTCTGGACAAACACTGCCTTTTTGTTCTGACATACTTGATTGTTCTTGGTGTGTATACTCTTCACAGTCAGATATAATTTGAGACGTGGCCTCCAAGAGTATCTTGAGTTAGAACGTTGTCTTAGGGCAATTGTCTTGGGAGACAGGGATCTCTGGGAGATCAGTAATTCTAGTCTTTAAAATATGTATTCTATTTTTTATCCATGGACAGGAGTGGTAGTGGGCATAATGTATTTCTTCTGGCTTTGGGTCTAGATGAGACTGTGGTTCGTGGGGGCTATTGGCCCTTTAGACAGATTGCTTTCTTGAATTTTTGGTTTTCTTCATTATCATTTGCTCTAGGTGGCCAAGCTTAGATTCTACTTACCAGGTTATAGAACATTTATCTACCAGATTGTAGAACATTATCTCTAT